TATTTCTGTCAAAGCATATGTTTCTTACGACACATTACTGTGCTTTTATATCATACAAATTTAAATTGGCTTGAAACACAGTAAAAAGCGAAGTTTGGCGACTTAAAATTTGAGAGTTGGATGGAAAGAACCCGAAATTATAAATAATTTCTTTTAATTCCGCAAAATTCTTTCTGTCAAAACACGTCACCTTACGACAAACCCTGCTGTGCTCTTACATCGTACAAATCTAAATTGGTTTAAATCATTGTTAAGAGGGAAATTTGGCGAGTCAAAATATGAGAATTGGTTAGAAAGAAGCTGAAATTGTAAAGATTTCCTTTGATTTCGAAAAATTAATTGTCATTAAAACACGCGTCAGTTTATGACACCCTACCGCGCTTTTATAGCATATACAAATTTAAATTGACTTAAACCACTGTAAAGAGGGAAATTTCGTCTGTCCAAATTTAAAAATTGGTTGAAATTGAGCCGAAATTATGAATAATCTTCGATTTCGCAAAACTCATTTTCGTCAAATCAGACGTCACCATACGACACCCTGACACACTTTTATAACATATACAAATTTAAATTGACTTAAACCACTGTAAAGAGGGAAATTTAGCGAGTCAAAATATGGTTAGAAAGAAGCTGAAATTATGAAGTATTTCCTTGGATTTCGAAAAATTAATTTTCATTAAAACACACGTTACCTTATGACACCCTGCCGCGCTTTTATGTCATACAAATTGAAATTACCTTCAACCACTATAAAGAGGGGAATTTCGCCCGTCCAAATTTAAAAATTGGTTGAAACTACTGTAAAGAGGAAAATTTGGCGAGGAAAAATATCAGAATTAGTTAGAGAGGAGCTGAAATTGTGAAATATTTCCTTTGATTTCGCAAAACTCATTTTTCGTCAAAACACACGTCAGTTTATGACACCCTACCGCGCTTTTATATCATACAAATTTAAATTGGCTTCAACCACTGTAAAGAGAGAAATTTCGCCCGTCGAAATTTAAAAATTGGTTGAAATTGAGCCGAAATTATGAATAATCTTCGCTTTCGCAAAACTCATTTTCGTCAAATCAGACGTCACCATACGACACCCTGACACGCTTTTATTACATATACAAATTTAAATTGGCTTAAACCACTAGAAAGAGGGAAATTTCGTCCGTTAAAATTTGAAAATTGCTTAAAACGGAGCCGAAATTATGAACAATCTTCTTCGATTTCGCAAAACTTATTTTCGTCAAAACACACGTCTCCTTATGCTTGCGACACCCTACCGCGCTTTTATAACACACAAATTTAAATTAGCTTAAACCACTGTAAAGTCGAAATTTTGGCGAGTCAAAATACGAGAATTGGTTATAAAGAAGCTGAAATTGTGAAGTATTTCCTTTGATTTCGAAAAATTAATTCTTATTAAAACACACGTCACCTTATGACACCCTGCCGCGCTTTTATATCATACAAATTTAAATTGGTTTCAACCACTATAAAAAGGGAAATTTTGTGTGTCCAAATTTGAAAATTGGTTGAAATGGAACCTAATAATATTCTTCGATTTCGCAAAATTCATTTTCATTAAAACAGAAGTCATCTTACAACACCCTACTGCGCTTTTGTAACATCATCATCATCATCACAAGGTCGTCAGTCTTAAGACTGGTTAGACACGTACCTCCACTCTTTCCTATCCTGAGCTAAACTTCGCATTTCCCTAAAACTATAACAGCCCACACCTTAACTATTTGCGAACAGTAGTCTAATCTACGTCTACCTCTACCCCTCCTAACTCCTGTCTCTGCCTCTAATATGTCTCTGACTAGACCTTCATGCCTGAGAAGGTGTCCTACCAACCTATCTCGCCTATTTTTTATTGACTTCCATAGAGTCCTCTGTTCTCCTATTCTTTCCAATACCTCTTCATTTCTAACCTTTTCTACTCACGATATCCTCATCATCCGCCTATAATACCACATTTCGAACGCTTCTAACCTTTTCTTTTCCGCCGCGCCCACTGTCCATGTTTCGCACCCGTACAATGCCGTGCTCCAAACATTCACCTTTAACAACCTTTTCCGAATTTCCAAATTAAGCGTTCGCGAGCATAGAAGTGACTTTTTAACATACAAATTTAAATTGTCTAAAACCGCTGCAACAAAAATGAAATTTGGCGAGTCAAAATACGAGAATTGGTTAAAAAGAAGCTGAAATTGTGAAGTATTTCCTACACACAGAAATGACCGTCTGAAGCTTGAATTAAAAAATGCTTAAACTTTGCTGAAAGCTATTCTAAAACTTTCATTAAACCAAAATCAAAAAATTACCCCAAATACTGTATAAGGAAAAGTCCGATGAGGTTTCTAACGTGACTAATATTGATATATTGAAAGCTCTTTCTTATTTTTATAAATAAATTTCTATGTAGTGGCAGTTCATGAAGTTTTCCACAGAAAGCAAAATTTAGCAACTAAATCGTTATCATAAGAAATTCTTATTGCTCAACAACAGCGGCTGTGTTTCCACCAGTCTAATAATCAAATCGCTTCTATCTATTCAACCAGGATTTTGGAAACTAAGCCTTTGTGGTTTGCGTTTGGTATTTTCAGAACAGAAAATTGAAAATTTTTTAAATACAAATGGAAATATGCAATTTTCATCTTGTGTAACAAAATATTCCAATATATCACATCTCCTGGTAGTATGACGAATTATGAGTGTTTGTACATCATAAAGAAAATTTGTCTAAAAACGTACGTGATCGTTTTCGATCAAAACCTGCAGTTTGATTATGACCTAATATTTGAGTTTAAGAGTCAGCTTGATACTTAATGACCTCATTTTAGGTCAGAGGCTTTAATTTTGAGTTTATTCTGTTCATCAAAAAATACGTTTAATCCACAAAATATAAGTTTTTCGATTGGATTAACATAAAAAAGCTTGCAAAACCAATTGCTATCATGAGGAAACTGAGGAAACTTTGTATTGCTTTTATTTATATGTCGAAAGGTCAGTTTAAAACTTTGGTAGTTAAAATTACACATAAGTAGTTACGACATGACTGATGATCATTTATTCCATCACTTTTTGGAAAAAATTAATTAATGATTGGGTGCAAATCTGTTTAACAAGAAAAAGAAAGAAAATTATTCAGTTTTGACTTATATTTAAGCATTATGAATTCATTTAGTATTAGTGCGAGCATTCCAGTAAGTGTGATTAGTGATTAAGATTCAGGGAAACAGTCGTGCCGTACAAAAGCTTAATATGTGCATATTTTTCGGAAAATCTCCGTAGGAACACCTCAATTACGTCATCGTTAAAATTAATTGCAGTTTTCTTCAGTCCACGTCCTGAGACAATAATGATTCAGTTAAAAATAATATTTTCCGCAATCTTGAACTTCCCATGTATGAAAACCTGTTTAAGGGATCTCATACATTGTATATATATATACACCTATATAAAGTTATTATGTACCTTGTATATAAATCTAATTGCGACCTTTTGTATATATATCTACCTATGTGAGTACATTTATAAAAAAAGTCAGTCATGTACCACTACAAAAGTATATAATGTACATGTTATGTATATATAATATGGATATATATATATATATGTAGGTAGGTACATGGTAATCATCAAAATTGATTGTGGGGCAATTTTCCGCGTGATTTTTGCTCCACGTCATAATTTTTTATCAGCCCGAATAGAAAGTGNTCGCGGGTGAAGAGACTGAGTCGGTTAAAAATGACAACAGTCGTGCTACTAGTGCTCTAAGTAATAATACTGATGAAAGTAAAGAAGTGCAAGTACTACAAAAGTATATAATGTACATGTTATGTATATATAATATGGATATATATATATATATGTAGGTAGGTACATGGTAATCATCAAAATTGATTGTGGGGCAATTTTCCGCGTGATTTTTGCTCCACGTCATAATTTTTTATCAGCCCGAATAGAAAGTGACGCCAAGTCTGACTGCACGAAACGTTGAGAAAAAGTTATTAGATACGGAGTAACATGAACAAAATGAGGCTTGGACGTAACCATTCCGCAAAAGAGGGGCGTTCGTACGCGTTTCCAACTAACAGCAACCGGGTGCGGTTTGGTCCATTCTCTACCGCGAACTCTACTACTATTAGGTATGATATACCGTTGGTTCGAAAGGAAAATGTTAAATGTTCCACTTCGTAGATTGTCATCCGCCCAAATTAACTGTGGTTCTATTTCTCTTAACAAAACTTTTCCTCATTACTCTGCCTTAATTGTCGTTAAATTCTACCCCCTTGCATGCCATTTCGATATTTGCGTAAAAACTTTTTCTTACTTTTGTAAAAACAACAAAGAAAAGAAAAAACGGTGAAAGTTTTGTTTTTAATTGTTGTTAAACATGCCGTTTTTCGCAACCGGTGATTGTTTGTAAACAAATATCGAGAGAACTTCTGAAATGCGTGTCTGGCGGGAATTTAAAAGTTCAAAAAGTAGCGAGAGGATAACGTCATTTTTTTGCGATAATACAATAATAATCCTTGTAATTATCAATTTTTTGACCATCAGCTTGTACGTAGTTGGGCTTCTTATATTTGTAATTTTGTGCCGCTGCTTACGTAATGTAAAAAATTGAAGACACTACGGGATAGAGAAGCTACGTCACTATTTTCAGGTCACGTGACGCACCGTTAGGCGCCATATTGCCAGTTTAGTGCAACGCTAAGGGTTAGTAACAGCAGTTTGTGTTTCTTCGTCGTTTTTCCCATAAATATTTCAAAAAATTCACTGCATATACTTGAAAAAAGTCACAAAACGATCCCTGTATTAAGTGTTTATGTGTTGTGAAGTTTGAATGTCGCGGTCATATATTACTTCGGGTATTTACGAATTGTACGATTGTCAAAGCCGTCTATTGGTGGTGCACAGGTTTGAAGTATCAAAATGCAAAAATACCAACCCTTGGCGGGAATGCAGATAAAATGTACAGTTTAAAGTAAGAGCTGCTTATTTTAAACTGCATTTTATTTATTAATATAGTACTATAGTCTTAAGTGGACCGTTATGGTCTCAGCCGATAATCCTAACCAATCTATTTCAACAAAAAACGCTGCAAGGAAAAGAGTTTCGAGTGTAGGTAGTAATGCCTTCAGAAATTAATTTCATTTCTTAAAATCAATAAAACTCAAAAATTTTCATTTTTGTTGAGTCTGCTGAAATCAAATTGTAAATTATCTTTAATTAATCCTAATGAAAAAAATTAAAATTAAAATATTAAATTAAAAGTAAATACTTTCACTAATCATAAAAGTGAATAACTTTGTGCTAAAGTATATGAAGATAGAAGATATTATTTCTTTTCCCACTATTTAACCTCAAAACATGTCACTGTCACATTGATGTAGTTTATTTTTTTTGTGTATAATTATAAAAATGCATATTACTGAATTAACGTTTACGTCTTTATTTAAGGGTTCTTTGTATGATATGGCAGCAGTAGATGCAATGGGTGAAGTTGACGAAATGCCTTCTACTGAGGAAAATTTTAAAAGTAAGTAGTGAAGCCCTTTTTACAAACTGTACATCGTAAAACATTTTTCTGTAAACAACTCTGATAAGAAATGCACAAAATAAGAAATTAAGGTTTAAGTAGATTATTTGTAATATCTATACACTTTTGATTTATGAATTTTAAATTTTTATACTAAATAGAAAATAAAATAAACAATAATAAGGTATCATAAAAGAAACATTAGAAAATTTTTCTTTGCATGTAACCACAGATATCTGGCTTTCAGAAAATGTAAAATAAAATTGTAAATTGCCTTTGTTACTATCTGTGGTAATGAATAAATCCAACATTTTCCATTGTAACCTTGGTAATTATATATGATAAAAAAATTGTCATTTTCACAAGTTGTTCATTTGCTGTCTCTCTTTTAGACGATGTGGCCTTAAATGGGGACAGGAACGACGAAGATTCTGCAGAAGCTGCTGTGAAAGCCACCAAAACAGTTGCTGACATAACTGACAACAGTCTTCCACCTTCAGAACCAATGGAAGTAGGGGAGTTAGAGGCTTCAAACAATGAAGAACAAGAAAACATTTCAGACAGTCAAGATGACGAGAATAGCAATCATAGCCATGAAGACAATGAAATGGATGTTACAGAGGACTCGAAAGATTCTAAACAATTAACTGAAGAGGAAGATGATGAAGATGATGACGAATACGAAGAAGACGAGGGTGATGACGAAAGGGATGATGGAGGAAAGGTGGAAGCAGAAATCGAAAACGGAAGCTGTGATTCACAAGAACGCGAAACTGACGAAGTGAGTTGTGCTTCGCAGGAAATCGCGGGTGAAGAGACTGAGTCGGTTAAAAATGACAACAGTCGTGCTACTAGTGCTCTAAGTAATAATACTGATGAAAGTAAAGAAGTGCAAGTAATTGATTCTTTAGCAGGTGGCAAGGGTAAGCAAATTTTTAATACTTTACATAAATCTGTTCTATTATGTACATTAAAAGTATTTGGCTAATTTTTTTTAATCTTGCTAATTACTTGATTATCATCAAAATGTTAATCAAAACATTTATTGCATGAATTATATGTTTACTGGTAGTAAAAGATATGTAATTAATTTTCAAATTTTGATGTTTTTGCTAGATTTTTACGATTAATACTTTTCATTTAGTTTAAAAATGCTAAAGGTTTAAATCTTAAGAATGAAACAGCCATAAAGTAGACTTTCAAAAAGAACACTTTAAGGGTACAACCCTGCTTTTATTTTTTATTAAAGTCAATGCATATTTTATTTATAAAGCAAATCTGCTTATGTCAGGTGTACGTTATTTATACAATTCACTACTTTACATTCTCTATATTAAGCGCAACTGTTAAAGTACTTGCTTTTGTGTTGTCTTTTAGAATCCAAAAGTGACAGTGCAAAACAGAGTGACGATAATATAATAACGTTAAACGATTCCAATGAAAATGATACAGACATTGTAATAATTGATGGTAAAGAAAATAGTAGTTCTGACGCGAATCAAAATAGAAAACATAAAATATCGGAATGCGATGAAGTGATCGACCTTGATTCTCCTGTGAAAAAGAAAAAGAAAGCAAAAGCACCACCCCCCGAATTGCCTGCCAGACGCAGCTCTAGAAACTTAAATAAGGAACGCAAAAGCTACGTGGAGGAAGATGATTATGAATTAGAAGTGGAAAAAAGAAAAAGGGCCGATTCGGAAGAGTCAGACATTGAAGAAGTACTTCCTGAAGACCCCCTTGCTGTAACAGACTCTATACATAATGAACTTAGAATTGGAAATAAAGGAACGAACTCGCCGAGCTCAACGATTGTTGTCAAAGACACAAAAAGACTCGTTGAGATTGCATCACAATCGAATAATTCAAATATTAGCAAAAAAGAACCTACATTGGTTATAATCGACACAAATTCTATACTATCCGGTCGCGGACCAATACCCATCTCCCAAAAATCTACAGCGCCTTCGCCCTCTCTCAGTACCTCAGCGTTTAACATGTTACCCATGGCTTTACCTGCCCAAGGTGTATATCCAGCAAATATGCGTGCCACGATAACGCCTATACCCATTGGCGCCTCCACCCCCAAAGGCTCCGCCACGTCACTTCTCTCGCCGGTATCGGTTTCTTCGGGCTCTGGTCAACCCATCCTGTCTTCGGTTGTTCTACCCACTGTTCAATCGAATGCTGTGCACGTCTCATCAGTAGTTCATCAACCAACTCTTTTATCCGCAACTGCTCAGGCATCTCAGTCACTTGCGCCGCCCCCTCTTTTACCGACATTAACGGACGATATGTTCGTTGTTGAGGCGCCGTCGTTTATTGTTCCGTACGTATATGAAAAGCCACCCATGAAAGACATGAAGGAGTTCTTAAAAGAAGTACTTGAAAAGGAAGCAGAGGAAAAGAAAAAGAAAGAGGAGGAGGAGGAAAGAAAAAGGAAAGAAGAAGAAAAAGAAAAAGAACAACGTAAGAAGGAGGAGGAAGAGCGGAAAGACAAAGAAGAGGAGGCTAAGGAGAAAGCAGATGATGAAAAAATGGAAGTAGATGAAGATGAGGAGAAGGAAGATAGAGGAGGTAAGTTTTGATTTTCCTTTTTCTAAAAAGTCCTTTGTAGTACGAAGATTTCACTTAAATCAAGAGGTAAAATATATTTTATTGTTTATTCTTAAATAAAAGTAAAAATTAATGTTCTTACAATCTTCAATGTATAAAAATCCTTTTTTTTTTTTAGACAAAAAAGACGAAAGCGATTTGAAACTAAAAGAAATAATAGAANTATTGTTTATTCTTAAATAAAAGTAAAAATTAATGTTCTTACAATCTTCAATGTATAAAAATCCTTTTTTTTTTTTAGACAAAAAAGACGAAAGCGATTTGAAACTAAAAGAAATAATAGAAACTGTAGAAGAAGAAAATGAAGAAGACAAAGAAGCCAAAAAGAACAAAGATAATACTCCAAAAGATTTATGTGATGATACGAAAAAAGAAAAGGAGTCTGACAAGAAAGCAGAAGAAACAAAAACCAAAGAATCAGACAAAGAGAAAGATCAAAATGAAAAGAAGGAAGTGTCAAGTGAAACTAACGATAAAAACGAGTCTCCAAAATTAAAAACATATTTTGATACACCCCTTGGGAGTTTCTTTGTTGATCTTGGATTTAATTTGGTTCAAGAATTTGTTCAGAACGACTTGTTAAGACAACAGAAGAGGAAACGTGATAGGGAACAGGGTCAGAATGCAAAAACCAATAAAACTATAGCGTCGTTAATTAAGAATTTAGAGTTCAGTAAAGAAAATAATGAGCCATTCCGAATGGAAATGAAGAAATGTCAATTTTGTAGTTTTAGAACAGAAAGCTCTCTTGCTATGGCTTTTCATTTAGAAACTCCCCATATGAAAAATTACATTTACAGGTTAGTAAAACGTTTCTTTTTTTAAACATTTGAAGACATTTATTAGGAATTAAGCATTAGTAACAACATAATCTATTTTCCTAATAAAGTTAGGCATTATTTCGAAGAAAACAACGTCTTGTTAATCTAAATGAATAAAAAAATAAGCATTCACTTAACATTAACAAAAAACTTAATTAAACTTGAAGAAGTTACTACCACTAGTACTATTATAAAATAAATTACTACTCAAGTATTCATTACAATTTTCTCAATTATCATTAATCTAACCATGAGAAGGAAATTTTTTTGTTGACGTTTCAAATTTTAATAACACACCCTGACACGCT